AATAGCCTATCCAGAGTGGTTCCATTATTTGGTATGCACTTCGCACCTTCAAAGTGCAAAGTGTTGCTGCAGGACCACCAGCCACTTGATGACCCCTTGACGCTTGCTAACGAGGAACTCGAGGTGGTTGATCAATTCACTTATCTTGGCAGCTGCATCAGCAATGATGGGCGCATAGAAACTGACGTGAGCTCACGCATTGCAAAGGCCAGAGCTGCCTTCTTGAACCTACGTCATCTTTGGCGACAGAAGGGAGTTTCCCTTTCGTCTGAAAGGCCGTGTATACAAGGCCACAGTGAGGGCCGTTCTGCTCTATGGTAGTGAAACTTGGCCCCTTCGGTCTGAAGATCTGAGGCGCCTTCAAGTCTTTGATCATCGTTGTTTGCGAAGCATTGCTGGTGTCGGATGGCACCAGCGTGTCCGCAACGATGATGTGCGTAGGCGAGTACTAGGTGGTGATGATCATGCTAGCTCCCTAGAACAACAGATAGCACTGAATAAGTTGCGTTGGCTCGGGCACGTGCTACGCATGCCTGGTCACCGCTTACCTAGGAGGGCCTTGTTCAGTCTACCAGGTGTAGGATGGCGCAAGGCTCGAGGTGGACAGAAGTTGACTTGGCAGCGGGAAATGAAGTCACTGACGACCAAACTGGGTGCCGTTGGTCCGTCTCGCCTTCCGGGTTGGAGTCCACGTGACTCACCTTGTGCTTGGCTCGAGACTTTACAGGACATGGCTCGCAGTAGACACCAGTGGCGCGTCTGCTGCCGTCTCCTAATCGGATTGTCTGTTTAAAGTGTGTTTGGTGCTGAGTTATCTGCGGGGTAATGGCTGATTATGACGCGTGACAGTGAAAGCCGCAAGGAAGCTGTCTCGCCGATGCCGTTATCTTTGCACGATAGCCAGCTGTTTGTGACGGTATGTTGTCTACACAAGGTGTAGGCGCCTTGACCCTGAATGTTTGCTTAGGGCATTAGGGTTTTCAGGTAAGTCCCCCTTCTCTCCCTCTTCTTATTATTTATTTCATAGGTCCTCGTGGTTGTATGGCAGCGAAGCATCATTTCAAATGGCTGATGTACTGCTGTTGATGATGATGATGAAAAAAAAGCACAACAGGTGAACGTCAGCTTAGCTGCCAGTAACCAATGGGCATCGTTCCTGAAAGCTACCAGCCGGCTTCTATGCAGCAGAAATTCTTATGCATACTTTACCTTATGCTAAGAAATGAGATCGCACTTGGAGGGGCAGGCTATAAGGGATGGGGAGGGACACAGAAACTCACAACGCAAACGCCACTGAGGTCGACTCCTAGCCATGTCAGAACGATTGGCATACAGATAGGAACCATGATTTATTTGGAGCTGACTAACGCCTCTTCAACATGTACATTCATTCAATTGAAAAGGGAGCAACCATCATCATCAACATCAGCCATTTGAACTGATGTTTCGCTGCCGTACAAACACGATCACCAACGGAAGAAAGAGCAACAAGAGGTAGAGAAGGGGACCTGGCGTATAACCTTCATGATCTGAACAAACATTCAGGGTCAAGGCGCCTACACCTTGTCGACAGTATACCGTCATAAACAGCTGGCTATCGTGCAAAGATGAGGCGGCATCGGCGAGACAGCGTGCTTGCGGCTTCCACTTCCCCGCGTCATAATCAGCCATTACCCCGCAGATAACTCAGCACCAAACACACTTTAAACATGCAGTCCGACTAGGAGACGGCAGCAGACGCGCCAGCCTGGAAGGCGAGACGGACTGACGGCACCGAGTTTGGTCATCAGTGACTTCAACTTCTTCCGTCAAGTCAACTTTTGTCCACCTCTGGCCTTGCGCCACCCTACATCTGGCAGACAAAACAGTGCCCTCCTCGGTAAGCGGTGACCGGTCATACGTGCCCAAGCCAGCGCAGCTTATTCAGTGCTATATGTTGTTCTAAGGAACTAGCTTTGTTATCACTACCTAGTACTCGCTTGCGCACCTCATTGTTGTGCACATGCTGGTGCCACCCGACACCTGAAATGCTCCAGAGTCGGTGATGCTCAAAGACTTGAAGTCGTTTCAGATCGGCGGAGCCAGGTCTTACTCCCATAAAGCATGACGTCTCTCACTGTCGCCTTGTAAACACGGTCTTTCAAACGGAGAGGAATTCTTTTCTGTCCCTAAAGATGTCGCTGGTTCAATAAGACTTCTAGAGATTCCAGTGCTTGAACTGATTTCCATCGTATTGCGCTCATCTTTGCTGATGCAGCTGCCTAGGTAAGTGAATTGATCAACCACCTCGAGTTCCTCTGCTTATACCTCAACGGGTCATCAACTGGTTGGTGGTCCTGCAGCAACACTTTGAAGGTTCGAAGCGTATGTCAAATTAAGGGACTACTCTTGAGAGGTTATTCAAGGTTGATTGGCATGCCCCAACATCGTTAAAACGCAGGACAATATCGTTCGTATAATGAAGATAAACTAGCTTTTCACTGGACAGGAACTCAACGCTTGAATCGCGGAACTCCGCAAGGGAACACTCCATGATGCAGTCCAAGACGAAGTTGAACAAAAATGGGGAAATTGGACAACCCTGACGAACGCCACTTGTTGTCGGAAAGCTCTCGGTAGGTCACCGTAGACCTTGACGCGGCCTGTCGTGTTCGAGTATAATGCACGCAAAATGTTAACATTTTTCTTGTGAACATCTTTCCACGCATGTGTTTCGAACAGAATTGATCGATCGACTGAATCGAACGCACTTTCGAACTCGAGGAACGCGGCTGTTGTCTATCTGCGGTGCACGTTACGCTGTTCTAGCACCGGCCCCAGCGTGAATATATAATATATACAGCCATATTCAGGCGAAAAATTGTCTGCGGATTCCTAACCCGCGACGAACGAGAATTGAGGCCAGTACTTTTGTCGCAACTGGCTGCAGACTATTACTTCTGTGGTTAGGACAGTGGGTGTCTCTGCTCTTCTTGTTCATTGTCACCATTATCGATTCACTCTAGCCGGGCCGCTCTCTTCTCTCCAGACATGTTCGAACAGATATGTCACTGCTTTGCCATCCTTAAATGGTGCGCATGTGTTAGAATCCGGGCCAGCAGAACGGGAACGATTGGGGGCTGTGTGGGCTGCGTTTCGGAAAACAGCGTTCGACGGGGCCTCTAAACCGACCGGCCATGGTTTGTCCTGCATCACCTGGGTAGCAAGAGGTCTGGGAGGAGATGGCCAGCTGAACTGCTCTCGAAAGTGCTCGGCCCAAATGACCATACTCCGCTCCTTATTGTGTATCCGTGCTCCCGCGCTGTCTCTGATTAGCTCACCTAATCCTGATTTTCTGGGACCAGTGATGTGGATCACTTGGAAGAACTCCTGATGATTGCCTACTGCTCCTGCCTCCTCCATTTCTTGAGCCTCACTGATCCACCAGGCTTCCTTGTCAGCAAGCAGGCTCTGCTTTAGTTCGCGCCTAATATTCCGCCTAGTTACATTGTGCTCAGAGCCAACAGGGAGGTTTCTTCTGTATTCCAACGGGTTCACCGACTTATCGGAGATCCAGTGACTGATGCGGTGACGACTGATATTGCCGCAAGCGGAGGCTCCTGCATCGTACCTGGCGGCCGAAATCTTATTCCATAGAAGCTGCGTATGGTTAGGACAAAGGAGCGAAAGTTCAGTAAGCAGGGCGTCCTGGTAGGCTTGCTTGACCGATGGCTGAGATAACGTTTTAGTTGTCAGTACGCCTTCTGGTAGAGCTCATGGAAAAACGACAGCGTACCAGGGCACTCCAAAACGAGTGGAAATGCAGAATAGAACCACGTCACATGTAACTTATGGCATTGTGATCTATTTGGGTCCATCGCTGGTCAGCTACGGATGGACGCCAAGCGGCACTTTGGCGCCCACTGTGTCTGAAAGCGGTGCTAGTCCGAAACAACTGGTGCTCCTCTCAGTTGCAACGGACGTTCGCCGCCTTCAGTGCGTTGCTGGTTTAGCCCATTATTACCACCTAGCTGGGATTTTGAAGAGCTCAGACGCACTACTTGTGCATTCATATCCCCTGCAAGTACCATGATGTCTGAACTGCTGAGACAGCGTAATGGCCTGTTCAGTTCGTGGTAGAATTTTTCCTTGTAAGCCATCAGCAGAACGCAGATACTTAGTCCAGACGCTTCGCTGTCGCACAACCACCACCGGTCGCATGTGTCCAAGGATACTGCGAGAGTCGCGCTGCCCCTACGTTGGCTGGAACCCGCACCGTCAGATTTTAAGACAAGTTAGTTAACTTGACGCTACGAGCCCATAGTACCAATTGATCAGGCCTGCATGTTAGACTGTATCTCGCCCAATCGAGATGTGTACGACGTGCACATTATTTTCCAACCATCTTTGTTCTTCACCGGCTCTTGGTGTACTCTTTAATTCTGGATTTGCTAATTAATGCTTGGCGAATCAGTGGGTTATAATCTTGTTACCGAACTTTAGATAAGTTCACTTACTCCATGTTCACAGCTTTATTCTCTGGCGGCACATCATTTTTCTTGTCGGCATAATTCAGCCTTCGTCCGTTTTTATGTTTGGCATGTCTTTGATGAAATACTCTCTCTTTTTGTGGCGCGATTGGCTTTGAAGTTTGCCTGGATCCTGGGCCTCGCTGTCGAGTGTATACTTCTTTTCACCCTGAGTGCCAAGATGCCTTTTACACTTTTGGATATTTCACTGCCGTTAGTTGCTATCTGCGTTGTTATTTTACCTCTTCCCAGTTTTTTGTTTTACACCTCTTGATGGATCTACTGAATCCCGATAGGCCACAAACACTGCGCCAAAGCTACGATCAGTTAATTTGTAGCGATTTTGCAGATAATACTGTTAGTACTGTTTCTCAAGCCGTCCGATTAGCGAATTTGGCCGGATAGCGGTTTATCTAACTCGTTTCAGTAAGCGGATTTTAACACTTCGTAAGCTCAAGACGTTTTCTATTACCATTTATTCTACTGTTTTAGGTCCTTATTTCAGTCTTTCTTCAACTCTTTGATGACCTGTTCTTCCTCATTGAGCTGACCGGCTTCGCCTTCACAGTGGTGTCTACAATTGCGGTATGCAGTTTGCTTCACATCCGACGAACCAATCCCGATTTAAATCAGTCGAGCTTCAGAGTAAGACGCCGTTATTCTTTTTACTCAATGCGTATGCATTTTCGTACACTGAATGTCCACGGTCACTTGACGCCTACTGTTTTTTCACAATTACCAAGTGAACTGCATTCGGCGCGGCTCCACGCCCCTTGGCGTTCCTTCACTCGTTTAGTATGTTTGACCTACTCAACTCACATCTACTCGGAGTCACAAACTGTAGAGAAATCGGTTGTCACGTTTTGCTTCGGTATGATAATAAACAAGCCACAACGATGAGGGTTAATATGGTAAAGTACATCGTAACACCAAATAAAGGGCTGCACTTGTGTCACGGCGTCACGTTTCAACGTTGCACACAATTTGCTGTATAGTTTGGTGGTTACACTGCTTGACGCAAAGGCAACGGAAGTAGTTTACTCTCCTTTGGCATTTTCTATTGACTACCATACAACAACACTTGTGACCTCTTTACCGATAGCTCTGTATGTAATTCGTCCTTAATGTAGTCACCGTTTTTTTCAGCTTCAATCATGGTCTCAGCTTTTTACTCCTGATGCTTACATGATCCACCTGAATAGACTTATTTTACTGCTGCATTGACCATATGGCTTGAGATACTGATTGCGGGACTAATATCTCCAGATGAATCACAGTACATAGCTAGCCGCGTTCCAGCGTTTCTTTTTCTAGGTGCATGCTTTATCTTTTTGGGGATTATCATGCATTTGCTCCAGTAACTATTGTCAGCCTTGTGCCCCTTACGCGTGACATCGTCTTGCACTGAGAGACTGACGGTTGTGCTGGAATGGCCCACAATCAATGTTTGTTGTCCGCAACTTATTTTAGCTTCCTGTCAAATCTACTGAGTGATAACAGTCAGACAATCCTAGCTTGGCTGTACAATTTGTTAAAAATCCTTGAAACTGGTGGTCTCCGCGTGCTGCATTTAATCCAGAAGTGTAGTATGGCGTTTGCTCTTTCACTACGACAATGGGTGCAATCCAAAATCGACAACTACAGGCCAACTTGTCTGACACCTATTTTGGCAAACGTTGCTGAGAACATCGTAAAAAATGGATTATTACAGCTGCTACAGTCAATAAAGGTCTTGACGCCCGCACAGCACGGTTTATGCGATGCCACTCATGCATTACCAACTTGCTTGTGACTAGGCATGAGTGCTTGAAGGCAATAAGCAAGGGGAACTCTATCGACGTAATATTCATCGATTTCAGTAAAGCGTTCGATAAGGTCAGCCATGAGGTTCTCCTTCACAAACTCAGGATATGCGGTGTCGGTGGCTCACTGCACCGGTGGATCCGCAACTTTCTTTGTTTGACGAAAGTGGAGGGTATAGGTCGACGACCATCTGACATGGTATCCCTCTATAAGTGATGGGCCTCAAGGCACTGTGCTGGGGCCCACTCTGTTCTTGATCCACATCAACGATCTACCTCAGCTTCTCCGGTCGCCGTGTGCCTTGTTTGCGGACATGAAGATTTGGAGAGAAATTGACGCTCCCGACAACTGTGGCCCACTTCAGCAAGGCCGCCTATCCACATGGTCTGCATCAGTTCATCTCCCGGTCAACCCAGCCAAGTCTGTATTTATGAGCCTGGGGAAGGGTGCTGACGGCCGAACCTACACCCTTGACAGCCAACCGCTATATCCCACACCCTCCGTGAAGGATCTAGGTGTACTCTAGCGCTACGATTTGAAGTCCGTGGACAACACGAACAGGCTATATGGTAACGGACTGCGCACGCTTTGGGCGCTCAATCGTAGCTTCAGCACATGGTCTGAAGAGGATGTCACTTGGCTCTTCTCTTCCATCATTAGACCAATGCTAGAGTATGGTCCGGCCACCTACTTTCCGATTACCCGAGGTGAGTCACAAAAGATCGAACGGGTCCAACATGTTGCTACCAGGCTCATCTCGAGTTTACGTGGCTTGGGTATGAAGACCGGTGCGAGAAACTAGGACTCTACACCTTGTCCTACTGTCGGGTGCGAGTCGACCTCATTATGTCCTACCGTATTCTACATCTCGGTGATTTCCCTATGCTGAGGCCAATGCTGCACTTACGAAGACCATGCAGCACAGGCGGACACAGATACAAACTTGTCGTGCCGGATGTGAAGCGAGTTCCCCACCCACTGTGCTTCGAACGGAGAGTGGTAAATATTTGGAACAGTTTGCCTGAACATGTGATGAAGGCAACATCTGTGCAGCAGTTCAAAACGTTGTTAGATTTATGTTTAACCACTATTCGATTCAAAGAACGATTGCACACTTACGATGACATGTCACATTTGTGAGTTCTGCAGTACCGTGAGTCAGATCTTTTAAACGTTACAGGAAAACGATAACGACATTCACGGCTGACAACTTTTAGAACGTTTTTCACCATATTTCGAAAGAGTTGTACAGCATTCATTTCTACTTGCTCCGTAATACAGTATTCAGTTCACGAAGTTGCTGACATTTACCTGCTTGCGATCATGTACCCTGTTAACTGTGGCACCGTAATTGAGGGCCAGTTTTTTTTCCGACATGCCAACAAAGCATCTCTCAACTAGTGTACAGTGATGAGGATGTTTCGTGCCGTTGAATGCAATGTGTTCACCGTCCATTTAAGACATCACTATTCTCATTATGAGCCACCTTATCTGCAGAAACATATTTTATCTTTTATTTAATCCTGATGTTCTTCTGGAGTTTTATGTGTAAACACTCTGTGTAAAATGTATCTTCGAATACATGCTGTTTATCATAACAGTTACGAGCCTGCTGCTATGACCGACGAGCAGCAACTACCTGAATATCTGCACAGCCGTACCTTTCGTTTTTCTTTTTATGGACCCTTTCTTGGTATTTGTAACAAAGGTACTCCTTAACTTGATATAAGCATGTCAGCGACTGTTCCCATAAATATTTCAGACATCAAGTTCTTTGCCAAAATTACCCAACGATCATTTCTTCCTTTGTTTGGCAGCCACGTATTCGTATCAATTTCGTGTACAATCGGTTGCTGAGCTGTGATGATTAAATTTGTTTGTTAGATTCACAAATGAGGCTGTTTAGGTTCGGTTTGGTTTGGACACATGCTGCATTGGTTCACCGCTTCCTGTTAGACCACTTCATTTGTTTATCCGGTTTTGCATGACGTTGATTCTGAAGTGTTTAGCGCGAAATACGGCCACCGACGTTTTGGATTTTCGCTATGGCTTCATCCGACGCTCTTGGCTAGGACGCTCGTAACCAACCTTGTGCCCGGTTCGAAACGACAGACGACATGGCATGCCACCTCCACGAGACTGGATCTTAATTTTGGGCGAAGGTTTGCCTACCTCCGTGACCCAGTCTCACATTCCTCTTTGGAGCTTAGTGATATGTTGTTGCTTCTTTTCCCCTTAATTCTATCCATGCGAGACTTAAGGTTTTTCGGATTATGAGCTCCATTGACATAGTGCACGAGTGCGACATATTTTCTCTCAAGCCAGGCAGTCTGTGGTCAAATTGGTGTAAACCCGCGAACCTTCACCTTCGTCTGGCCGTGTTTGCAGGTGCGTAACGTAGTACGGTCATAAATACGTGAACCGTTCTTCGAAGGCTACGTATGACAGACCTCAAGCAGATCTTACTTAGTCTCTGGAGTCACACTCTCAAGCCGGACTTTCTTCCCAATGCCTTTTGGATCGTGCTATTGAGCCAAAGTCTTATGGTGGTTTCTCTTAGACGAACCTAAATGCACCTTACTGCCTTGTGAATCAGACTGTCGGGTCATAGACTACAGGTATGGCATTGAGCAAAACCCCTCTCTCAGAATGGGCACTCAGAGAGTATCATCTGCCGTCTCGACTCCTTCGACAATACTCCCTATTCTTCTCTTTCCTATCAACTCTCTTCTTCCTCATCTGTTTAATAAGAGACTGCCGCTGACCTCGCAGCTGTTACCATTGAGACATGTAATTCGTCCATCATTTAATGTCCACACTCTGGGTCAAATCAGCCGCCAGACAACACTAACTCTCACTCTTCACTCTCTTGGTATTGATGAGTGCTGTGTTTCCGAAACATGCGTATAAGATAATGGCGTCATTACGATTTATTGACTACCTGGTTCTGAATTTGTCGACAGAGAAATCCCTCTTCACGACACTGCGTCAGTTGTTCAAGGCATTCATAGTTTTGGTATCCAGCTCAGAAAAACATGCTAAAAACAATATACTCCACTCGATGCCGGTGAGCATCCTCATGTGTGCAGTTCGACTGCGAACCACTATTGGAGTGATGCCTTTTCGTCGCCTCCGTTTGTGCTCCTGCCAACTGCAATTCAGAGAGCATCAAAGACGATTTGTATCATTAACTCTCATCACTTCTTCGCATGGCGAAGTATACTGACATCGTGATTGTTGCTGGTGGCTTGAATGCTCAAATGGGCCGTTTTTCATATTCTGAAAAACACCTCTGAGTTTCCTCCCGGGTCGATATACGCCGAACAGACGGTCGTGGTCGATTCCTGTAACTGTGCGTTGAAAACGATCGTCATATTAGCAACACTGTTTCCTGGCACAAACGGTCAATATCGTATCATTTGGTGCTCACCGAATTCCCCAATTCGATAATTAATATTTGATATTGTCATTTCAAGTGATAGGCTGTTGTTTGAGATCCCCGTTGTGGCTTGTTTGATGTGCTTGTTGACAAAGTGCCTGTCTGTCTAGTACCCACTACCTCGTCTATACTAGCTCCAATACACAGTTGGGGAGGGGACGGGGTGAACGGTCCTCGTGGCCTTGCTAGGCCCGAAGAGTGGTTCCATGCACTCCGTGTGGAGCGGACTACGGTCCAGCCACCGCTTTGTGTGTGCTTGATTCCCCAAATACAGCGTGCTTGTTTTTGCCTGTGAAGGAGTGTGGGCCGACACCGTTGATGAAACGTGGCTCTCATCTGCATGCCTCCCGGTCTTATTCCTTCTGGTTTACATTGGATATGGGGTGTGTGGATGGAGCTGTGG